AGAACAGAACATTTTTTAAAAAAATAAAAAACAATTTAAAGAAATACAGATTTCAAAGCAAGTCCACTGGAGATCTACCTTATCTAACTGTCTCTAGCTTCTTACAAATAGTTGTCCCTAACTTCACCCACTTTCTATACTTATTGCATATTATAGAACAAATCAAATCATTACAGGATGATGGAGTCTTTTTAGGTCCTCAAGTTCCAGATTAGGGAAGACATTTCAACTACCATCGCATCTCTCATTCTCTTTGTGATAGCCGTCCCCATCTCTGCATATGCTGAAGTTGAGCTGAAGAAACCAGTCCAGAGTCATTTTAATCAGCAAGCAATAGATTGCTAGAATTTATATTATAATGCTACAAAATAAGCCTCGGGTTTTTCAGGTCTCTTCCTCAGAGTATTTGTTCCTATCCTCTCTGTATTATAGGGAAAACCAAGTCATAACAAGACAGCGAAACAATTTCCTAGATAAACATGCAATGGATAAGACTTATAAAACTATAATATAAATGATCTTCCGTAGCTACTATGTTTTCTCTTGTTATTTTCAATAGATTTGTCGACAACACTGGCTTATTATAGTTAAATATACTATCACCTATTTTTATAAAAACTTATCTTTGACTGCATTGTAGTATTTGAGAGCTGTTACTGATTCATACCAGTATGGAGATCCTTTACATCCTGTCATGCTCAGAGTAGTTTCCTCTACTTTTAGGGTTGATTCTAACACGCATACCGATTTCAAATAGGATCAGTCAAGGCCAACCAATAGTCTTATGATTCAGATACAATTAAGATCAGTCATAGTAAGACAATGTAAGTAATACAGGATTTCAGCTTAAGTCAATAGGAAAATAAGGATAGTTACCATGGTATAACCTGCTATTTTTGGTTCTAGAGGTCTGTGTCCTCAAATCTGATATGAGTGGACAGACCAGAACAAATTTAATTCAATCTAAATATGGCACTAGGACTACTGTGTCTTTTAAATCGTTATATACCATTAGCAATGACCTCTGCTTTTTTTTTTTAAATATAGTTTCAGAGCTGTCTCTACCAAAGACTAGCTTACCGTCTCTGCCTCATGTCTGCTACTCCACTTTTCTGCTATAATTTGTCCACCTTATTCCCTCATTCCATGGTCTGCCCCGTACACTGAGGCCTCTCTGCCACTGTAGCTGGAATCCTGATATCTCTTCCTCTCTTTCTCTGTAATGTCCTTCAGCGCTCTCTGTAGGGTTGGATTGGTGGCCACGAACTCCCACAGTTCCTCCTTGTCTTGAAAGTATCTTATTTCTTCATTAATTTTTAGAGAGAGTTTTGACGGATATATGAACTTAGGTTGCATATTTTTTTCCTTCAGGACTTGGAATATTTCTCCCCACTCCCTTCTTGACTTAAGAGTTTGCGTTGATAAGTCTGCTGTTATTTTGATAGATTTCCCGTTATAGGTAACCTGCATCTTTTCTCTGGCTGCTTTTAATATTCTGTTTTTTTGGTGGATTTCTGGGATCTCGATTATTATATGCCTAGGCGTAGATCTGTTTTGGTTGTAGGTAGCTGGTGTTCTGTATGCTTCTTTTATCTGGATATCATTTCTTTTTGCTATACGTGGGAAATTTTGCTTTAATATCTCTGTGAATATTTTTTGTATTTCATTTTTGGATGTTCCTGCTTCCTCACTCACATTCTTTATTCTTAGGTTATGCATCTTTTTATCATCTTCCAGTTTTAGAATTGCTTCTTTCTGGTTCCTTGTTATTTTTAAGAGGCTTTTTCTTTCACGTTCATAAGCCCTAAATCTCTCTTCAAGTTTCAGAAGGTTGTCTTTAGTTTCTGTCAAGGCATTTTGCCAATATTCAATGGAGTTTTTAGTTTCCTGGTAATCTCTTTGGTTCTGTTTCATGTATTCTAAGTTATGCTTAAATTCTTCTTCAGATGCTTCTCTTTCTTTTCTGATTTCCTCAGTTCTTCCATCTGTGTTCTCTTGGGTGGGGCTTGTCATTTCTTTAATTAATCTCTTTATATCTTGCCTCACTTGGATCAGGAGTACATCTTTAAATTCCTCTATGAGATCATGTAAATACTTTTTAATTTCGGCTGATGCTGTGTCGAGCAATGGATGGTTACTGTGTTTGTTCTCTTCAGTGTTTAGTTCTCTTGGGTTTAATTTCTCCTGTTGAACAGCTGGAGATTTTTTTTTATTTTTATCTCTTGTCATGTTTCTGGTTTCTTTCAGACTGTCCTGGAGTTCTCTGGCCCTCTCCGAATTGCTTAGGGCCTTTCAGAAGCGTGCTGGCTTGAGTTTTTGCTGTCCTCCCCAATTTGCTGTTATCTGGGGTAGGCTGGTATGCAGGGGCGGTACAGTCTAGTCTCTAGCCTCTGTGTCAGTTAGTTCATAAATTAGGCTGTACTTTCTGGTTGTCACTGAGTTGTGACCATTCTGCATCCGCCCATTGGGCCCCAAGCAGAGGCCTGGTCTAGCCCCAGTAGCTCCTGCCAGTTCTCCCTGAATCAGAAGCAGCTGGGTAATGGCACAGGATTCTGCCCAGGTCCCAGCCGTTCTCTTCCAAACCTCTCTGTGATAGGAGCTCTAGAAAAGCAGATCTGCCCAAAACCAAGATGGCTCCCACTAAGTTCTCCGTGCGGAGCTGAAGCCAGCAAGCAATCAGACTCTGCCAGGACTCAAGATGTCTTCCACCAGCCCTCCCTACAGGGGGACCTGGTGATGTTACCAAGCTGCGGTTTCTGCCGCCAGGCTAATATGTCTGCACCAGATTCTGTGTTATTGATTTCCCCGTGGTGGCGGGCCAGCTGTTCTCTGGTCAAACCCAGCAGCCGCGGGGTTTTCTGTACTCACCAGAGTCCGGTGCAAGTCCCCACTCCGGGACCGCCGCACACCAAGCCGTCCACTTTTCCCCACCTCGCAGCTCAGTGCTGACCAGTCAGATTTCTGTGCACCGTTTAGATTCGAAACGCCAGAGCTCTGTACATCTGCTCTGGTGCAGCGGTGCAGAACTGGCTGCCACCTGGAGTCTCGATCTGGGTCTCAGTTTCCGCAGTCCCCAAAAGCAACTCAGCTTTTCGTGCTGGGTCCACGAGTCTGTTCGTTGATTTAAGGGCGCGGGATTTGCAGCCTCCGGTCTCAGCACGACTTTAAATCCTCCAGCTGTACTGTCTTGGTTAATAAGAATCACTATCAATTTGTCTGGTCCTCTCCATGCTGTCTTATTTTTAGCTTTGAGTTTGAATTCTCTGGAGAGATTCTTCACTCGATCCCCTAGCTCGCCGCCATTTTCAGATCTCTGCCATTAATTTCCAATTTCAGTGTGCTATGGTTAGATATTATGCATGGGATAATTTCAATACCTTCGCATTTACTTAAGAATGTTTTATAGCATAATATATGGTCTATTTTGGAGAATGTCCCATGTGCAGCTGAGAAGAATGTGTATTCTGATATGGTTGGATGGAACACTCTATAAACATTCTATAAGTCCAGTTGCCCACAGGTATGATTCAATTCTATTATTTCTTTGCTGACTTTTTGTTTAGTTGATCTCTTTGTGACAATGGGGTATTAAGGTCACCTGTTATAATTGTGTTCTTGTGCATTTGGTTTTTCATGTCCGTTAGTATTGTCTTATATAATTGGATTCTCTTATATTTGGTGCATATATATTTATAATTGTTAGTTCTCCCTCTTAAATATTTCCACTAACAAGTATGTAGTGACCTTCTTTATCTCTTTTAATCATTTTAGGTGTGAAGTTCACATTGTTGGAAAATAGAATAGTTAGCCTGCTTTTTTCTGGGTTCCTGTTTCATGGAATACTGTTTTCCATCCTTTGGCTTTAATCTATGAGTTTCCATTTGGGTCAGATGTATTTCTTGTGTACAGAAGATTGTGGGATCATGTTTCTTGATCCATTCCATCAATTTCTGATAGGTGAGTTGAGGCCATTTACATTGACAGATATAACTGATATGTACTGGCTCAACTTTGCCATGTTATGTTCCAATTATCTGCTTTCTGCTTTTGCCCCTTGTTTAATTGCTTGTCTTACCTGGTGGTTTCTTTCTGTTGTTGTTCTGGAGATTGTAATCATTTTTATCTCTGTCTAGCATGTCTTTCAATATGCTTTCTAGTGCTGGTTTGGAGGACATGAATTTCTTCAGTTGTTCTTTGTCATGGAAGTGTCTTGTTTCTCCATGAAATCTGAATGAAAGTTTTTCTGGATATATCAGTCTGGGTTTAAAGCTGTTTTCTTTCAGGGCTTGAAATACCACACTCCAAGCTCATCTTGACTTGAGGGTTTGTGCTGAAAAGTCTACTGTGATTCTAATGGGCTTCCCTTGATAGGTGAGTTGCTTCTTTTCTCTAACAGCTTTTAGTATTCTGTTTTTATGCTATGTGTCTGAGATCTTAATTATTATATGTCTAGGTGTAGATTTATGTTGGTTGTGGTTGTGACTGTTTGGCATTCTATGTGCCTCACTTATCTGCATATCAGATATTTTCCCCATGTTTGGAAAAATTTCTGCTATTACTTCTGTGAATAGTTTACTGCTGTCATTTGCATTGATGCCTATTCACCTTATATTGTTTCTTTTAGGATCATCTTGAAGCTGCTGGATTGTCATTTCATGCTGTTTTTTTTTTATTTTTAAATTTTTCATGATCATTAATTTTGGTCCTCTCCTCAAGGTCCAAAATTCTATCCCCAGCTTTATTTAAATGGTTTTGCCAGCTTTGAATAGAATTTTTTGTTTCTTGGATGTTTCTTCAAGTTTGTTTCATAAATTCTGCTGGTTTTCTACATTGTTCATTCAAGGTTTCAATCAGTTTCTCATGCTCCTTTACTTTTTTCTCTATTTCTTCTTTAGCTGAACTAGCAACTCCTTTACTAAGGTTGTTATTTCTGTCTTTACATGGGAGAGTACTTCTAATTTGATTTCCTCTGTAGCCTCTTGGAATTGTTTTTTGTATTTAAAAATAAACACTTCATGAATTTGCATGTCATCCTTGTGCAGGGGCCATGCTAATTTTCTCTGTTTCATTCCAATTTTAGTATATGTGCTGCCAAAGCAAGCACCCCCTTCCTTCTTTTGCCTCTCTGAGTTATTTTCCCCTTTGAGCAATTTGTTATTCTTTCACAATATTTATTGAAGATTTTGGATCTTATCTATTCTTTCAGTTTCTTACATTAGGAAGACAATGTTATTTTTACTTAAAAAAGCAAAACAGAAAAAAATGGTAGAAATGATACAGAATTTCCAAAAAACATTAAGAAATTATCTCTAGTTAATATATTATATATTGTTTTCTTACAAGTAGTTGTTCAAGTTACAAAGTCAAAGGTATTGTCAATATGATACTTTTACAGTTTTTTATTTTAAAATAGCAAAACAGAAAAAAGGATATAAGAATAGAGAATTTCAAAAAACAGGAAGAAATTGACACTAGTTGATATCTTAAATATTGTTAAAATAGAAATAGTTGTTCTGGTTACAAAATTTAGGCATAAAATAATCAAACAAACAATGACAGCACAAAGTGTTCTTTTTGATGATCTAACAGAGAATTAAACGTAATCTGTCTTGCACACTATACGTACATACAGTTATATGTGTATAGTTACATACATATACTCTTTTCCTTCCATTTCTCCTTTTCCCTCTCTCATTTATTCTGATAGTATGGTATTTAAAATGTAAGCTTGATTTATTTCACTTATGAGTATGGTCTCAAGTCACATCCATTTACCTATAAAAGACTCAGTGTGATCTTTCTTTATAGCTTAGTAGTACTCCATTGTGTAAAAATACCGCATCTTTTTTATCTATTCCTCACTTGAGGGGCATTTGGGTCCTTTCCAATATTTAGCTATTACAAATTGTGCTTCTAAACAAAAAAAACCCTTAAGAAACAAGTTGTGCTGCTATAAACATGGATGCAAATATATTACTTTTGGTGTGATGCTTTCAATTCTTCTGGGAATATACCAAGAAATGGAATAGCTGTGTGAAATGAGACTTCGATTTTAGCTTTTTGAATAATCTCCACACTGATTTCCACAGTGGCTACGCCAGCCTACACTACCATCAACAGTGAAGAAGAGTTCCTTTTTCCTCAGCATGTCTCAATAAATGCATCTCCAGCATTTGTTATTAGTGGTTTTCTTGATCCTGACCATTCTTTCTGGAGATGGAATCTCAATGATGTTTTAATTTGTATTTCTTGAATGACCACTGATGATGAACATTTTTGCATGTATTTATTTGTCATCTGTATTTCTTCATCTGAGAAGTGTATATTCATCTCAGATATCCAGTTTTGTAATAGATCTTTCAATTTAAAGACCTAGGATTTTTAAATTCTTTATATGTTCTAGATAGAAGTCCTTCATCTGAGGGACAGTTGACTAAGACTTTTTCCCAGTTCATGGGATTTCTCTCCACTCAGTTGGAGATTTCTTTTGACATGTATAAACATTTTAACCAGATGAGATCACAGGTGTTGATTCTGGGAAGTATTTTTCATGCAGTTTGATTTTTGGTCACGAATTCTCTGCCTACATATATGTCTTCAAACTTTCTACCTACTTTGTCTTCCAGCATATTTAACATTTCTGTTTTAATATTTAGGCCTTTGATCCATTATGACTTTAGTTGAGAGCATGGTGATAGGCATGAGACTAATTTTAGTTTTCAGCATATGGAAAGCCAGTTTTTCCAGCATCACTTATTAAAGAGGCTATTTTTCTTCCAGTGAATGTTTAGACCCTTTATCAAAGATAAGGTGACTGAATGTGTTTGTAGCTGTGGTTGTATCTTCTAATCTATTCCATTGATCTTCAGACCTGTTTTGATTCCAGAACCATGCTGATTTTATCACAGTAGCTTTGTAGTATAACTTCAAATCAGGGGTTGTGATGCCTCCTGCCAGGCCTCTGTTGTGCAGAATTTCCTTTACTATTCTAGGTCTCTTTGGTTTCCCAATGAATTTTAGGAATAATTTCTCTAGATCTCTGAAGTAGGCTAATGGTAGTTTAATTCAAATTGCACTAAATCTATATAAAATTTTTGGGAGAATGGCCATTTTCACAATGTTTGTTTTCCCTATTCATGAACAAAGAATATCTTTCTATTTTCAGAGTTTCTCTTTGATTTACTTTTTCAGATTACTATATTTGTATACACCTATACACTGTATAGGTATTTTACTTCCTGTGTTAGATTCATTCTTAAGTACTTCATTTTGTGAATTCTTGTAAAGAGTGTGATTTCTCTTATTTCTCTGACAGTGAGGTTGTTGTTTGTGTACAGGAATGCTATTGATTTTTAAGTGCTGATTTTTGTTATTACTGAATTTTTTGATTACTGAATTTTGTTATTACATCTAAAAGTCTTTCAGTGGAGTTTTGAGGGTTTTCGATGTACAGTATCATCTCATCGGTGAATAATGATAATTTAACTTGTTCCTTTCCTATCCTTATTCCTTTTATTTCTCTCTATTGTCTAACTGCTCTTTCTAATGTTTCTGAAATTATATTTAATAGGAATGGTGATAATAGACACCCTTGTTTTGTTCTTGATTTTAGAGTGGAATATTTCATTATTTGACATTTATTATGATGCTGGCTCTTGGATTGGCATAAATGGCTCTTATCAGGTTGTGATAAAGACAATATATTCTGATTTTCTGTATGGTTCATATCATGAATGAGTGTTGAATTTTACCAAAAGCTTTTTCTGCATCTATTGAAATGATCATGTGTTTCTTACCTTTGGCCCTATTGATATGGTGTTTTATGTTTATTGATTTGTGCATGTTGAACCATCCCTACATTCCTGAGATGAGTCCCATTTGGTCATAGTGTATAATTTTCTTGCAGACTTGCTGCATTCTGTTTGCCAATATTTTATTGAGGATCTTAGCATCTATGTTCATTAAAGAGATTGGCCTGTAGTTCTCTTTTTTGACTCGATCTTGTTCTGGTTTTGGAATTAGGGTAATCCTTGCTTCCAGGGAACTAATTGGGGAAAATTGCTTCCTTTTGAACTTCACTGAAGAGTTTGAGGAGATTTGGCATTAAGTCTGCCTTGAATTTCTTGTAGAATTCATCTGTGACTCCATCAGGACCTGGGTTTTCTTTGTTGGTAATGTTCTAATTACATTTTCATTTTCATTAACTGAAATTGGGTTGTTCAGAAATTTCACATCTTCTTGATTTAGCTTTAGTAATTAATATGTTTCTAGAGATATTTCCAATTCTTCTGTCTTTTGGAATGTAAGAGAGTAAACAGTTTTAAAGTAGGTATGGACAATCTTCTGCATTTCCATCATTCTCAGGTGATTTTACTCTTTTCAAACTTTATTGCATGAATTTGAGATTTTTATTCCTTTTTGTTAACATGAGCTAGGAGATTATCAATTTTATTTATTGTTTCAACTAACTTTCATTTGTTAATTCTTTGTACTGTTCTCTTAGTCTCTATTGTATTAATTTCTGCTCTGATCTTTATAATTTCCTCCCCACTTTGGGCTTTGGACTTGACTTTCTTTTCTTTTTCTAGATGACTAAGGTGTAGCATTGGATTGTTCAATTGTGTTCAATCTGTTTTCCTAATTTGGGAAATCACTGCAATAAATTTACCCCTGAGGACTGCTTTCATTGCATCCCACCAGTTCTGGCAAGTTGTACTTTTATTATTTTTGTTTGTTTGTAGATATTATTAGGTTTCTTCTTTAATTTGTTCTTTGAACCATTGTTTGTTCTGGAGTCCATGATTTCATTTCCATATATTTATAGAGATTTGCAGTTTTTTGTCATTTATTTCCAGTTTTATAGCACTATGATCAGATAATATGGGATAATTTTGATTCTTGTGCTTTTACTTAAGGATGTTCTGTGGGCCAGCATATGGTATATTTTAGTGACTATGGCATGTGAAACTGAGAACGTATAATTTGACATTTTTGGATGGAACACTCTGTATACATGTACTAAGTCCAGTTCACAAGTTTGATTCACTTCTGTTATTTCTTTGCTGATTTTTTTGTCTAGTTGATCTGTCTGTGTCAATGGAATGTTAAGGTTCCCTGTTATAATTGTAATATTGTTCATTTGAGTTTTACTTTTGGATTAATATTTGTTTTATATAGCTGGGTGTTCATGTATTTGGTACTTAAATATTTAAGATTTTTATCTCTTCCTCTTGAAGTTTTCCCCAAAACTTGTATATACTGTATAGTATAGTATATACTGACACTATAGTATATACTGACACTATCTCTTTTGATCATTCTTGATTTGAAGTTCACACTGTCTGCAAATATAATAGCTCCTCCTGCTTTTTGGGGAGTTCCTGTTGCACCAAGCATTGTTTTCCAATCTTTGACTTTCAGTCTAAGAATTTCCTTTTGGATTAGATGGGTTTCCTGTATATAGCATATGGTTGTTGTTTCTTGATCTATTCTGCCAGTCTGTTTCTTTTATTTGGAGGCCATTTCTTTTAATTGAGGTCATTTATGTTGTTATAACTGATATACATTGGCCTTTTTGTCGTGTCATCTTTCTGCTATTGGTTCTTTACATTTATCCTCTGTTTAATTGTTTTCCCTGCTTGGTGATTTTATTCTGTTGGTTTTCTTGAAGTTGTAACTATTTTTATGTCTACCTTGAATATCTTTCAGTATTCTTTTTAGGGTTGATTTGGTGGTCTTGAAGTTCTTCATTTGTTCTTTCTCATGAAAGTATCTTATTTACAGAAAGTATCTTATCTACAGGTTTTGAAGGACAGATTTTCAGGATACATCAGTCTGGGTTGGAAGTCATTTTCCTTTAGGATTTGAAATAACTCACTTCATGCTCTTCTTGTTTTCACTGTTCATGTTGAGAATACTGCTGTGATTTTGGTTGACTTTCCTTTATAGGTGTTTGTTTATTTTTTCTTAGACCTTTTAATATTCTGTTCTTATGTTGAATTTCTGGGATGTTGATTATTTTATGTCTGGGTGTAGATTTATTTTGATTATGGTTAATTGAAGTCTTATATGCATCACTTATCTGTATTTAAGTGTCCTTTCTCA